GTGTGGGGGCTAGTTGAGATATATTTACAGCCCGGCTGAAGTGCCCACAATTACTTCCTTGCCGATAGCTGATAGCGAAGGCGGGAATAACTCACTCACGGTATTGGAGATATGAGAACTTTATTTGAGATCTTAGGTACACGGTAAGGTGATCAGTCTTAACCGTGACACAGGCGAGTAACGACTAACTTATTCTGTCCCGCTTGGACAGCGCCACCAACGACCATAGACTGTGTCGTGGTATAGTTAGGCAACTGCAAGTCGCCACACACTCCCCTCCGAGTACTAACGCTGGAGAGAAGGAAATACAATTTTTGGTATGACACAGGGTGTCTATCACAAATAATCGACGCTGCCAAAAATCAGAAAGAATATTGCAGGAACTTATGATACCGCTGCTTAGAACTAGTGTGAGCGCAGGAAGTATCACAGAATTATACAAAGGTACTGCTGCTTAGAACGAAAATGTAGACGCAAGATGTACAATGTAAGATGGATTAAACAATATTAAGGTACCGCTGCTTAGAACAAATATGTAGACGCAGGCTGTACATTGCGAGATCCGAAATAAAATGTAATATATATTATACCGCTGCTTAAAGACTAACGCATACGCGGATATATAACTAATTGCACATGGAATAATACAGTATCGCTGCTTAATGACTAACGCATACACAGGATGTAGATATAAACCGAAGCAAATACGCGACCGCGACCAGAATGAAAACTGCACTTAACACTAATGGCAAACGGGACATATGAATTTTTACGCGCAATACATAACCACCTATGGTGTTCGACAGCACATGCGGCAGGCGAAAGCGCCTGACCGCTCCCGGAAACCTCAGGGAATCCCGAAAGTATGTCCGCAAATTTATTATCGTGACTGACCAAGGATATTTTAACTTCTGGTACAGCCAGTAACTGTCCGGCCGACGACAACGAGGTAACGCTGTCGACCAGACGACGCTTGTGCAGGTTGACTATTAACTTATAGTGCGTCAACACGTCTGCACCGAGGATCGCAAAGGGCACGTTCGCTACGCGAAAATTCCACACGATAGGACGCCGCAAGCCTAGATCTAGAGTAAGAAGACGCTCGCCGAACGTATCAATTACAGTGTTATTTGCTGCGAAGAGTTTCAGTTCAGAAGGCGTATTTTTATCGCGCAAGGACGCTGGGAGTATTGATATCTCCGCGCCCGTATCAACCAAAAACCGTTGACCGGTAGTCTGATCGAAAACGTGAAGACGGCTTTGTTTATGTCCCAAATCCCCGACCGTCTCTTCGCGGGGAGAGCGGTTTAGTTTTCCGCCGCGTCATCTTTCCACGAGCAAGGCTTGCGGCAGGACGTGGCTTTCTTCCCGTATTTACGGTGAATGTAGCAGTAGCCTGTCTTATCATCAGACTCATCTGCCTCACCACCACGCTTAGTCTTATTACGCGTACGGGATGTGGAACGGTCGCGACGCAATTTGGCGACCGAAGTGCTCAAAGACTGGATCTGCTTAGTTAATTTATCAAACCGCTCATCGACGCTCAAAGGAGCTTTAGAGCGGGATTTTCTAGATCCTTTTTCCGGTGTCACGACCACGACAGCGGTGCTAGGACCGTTAATGTCAGCTAGCTTGTCCGCCAATTCGGCTAACTTATGTAAATCCGAACTATCAGCCGCGACTAAAAGGGCTTTATGTGCTTCGGGCAGAAGCTCAATAAACAGAGATCTCAAAACGGTATCACTGCACTGCCCGCCATTGAGCTGTTTCATTTTATTTAGCAGGTGCGAGGGTCTCTGGTCCCCCAACACCTGACCTTTAAGAAGTTGACGTAAACGGGCTTCCGGTGAAACCACGAACGCCGCGAGTATCCGATCTTTGAGCTGCGCGTACAGATTGGCCGGTGGCGGTTCCGCCGTAACTAAATCTAATACATGCGCGATTGTTTCCTCGTCGATGCCAGTAAGCAGGCAATCGGCCTTCGTACGATCGACAGTGATACCCGCTGAGCGGAAGGATGCTTCGATTTGAACGAACCATGCTTCCGGGGACCGACGCCAGAAGGGCGGAATCTTCGGCACCCGGTACGCTTCTACGCGCGCGTTTTCGTCCGGCATAATTAAACCACGCGACGCGTATCGCGAACCGAGAAAAAATGAGAAAAAAGAAAAGAAACCGAGGAGAAATACCAGGACGAGGCAAAGCATGTGCCTCACGCACTCGAAGTACCGGAAGCGGCGTAGTCCCTTGAAGGAGGTAGGGCCTGGACTCGAGGCGTAGGCGAGAGGAGGGTAGACGCGCTGTCCTGCGTCCCGCTGGCCGGCGGTGCCTGCTGGATGCGCTGCCAGGGACGTCCCTCACTGCCGATGTTGCGTGCGCGCGCCGGGGGCTGAATGCGCGACGCGTCCTGTCGATTTCGTCCTCCGCGCAACGGTATGGTCCCGTGCGCTACACAGTGTGCTGGGTGCGCCCTTAACCGGGCTCGGCCGCGACGTCGGAGATGCCTCAGAACGGGATCCCGCCGATTTGAGTCCGTACATGGAGAACGGCCGATCTTGCGTCACCCCAAAATGGCCTCCCTCGGGCGGGTAATAGGCTCGCCCGTTATTTCGGGAAGGCCGGATGATGGACTTGCTCGGGCGTCGATGTTGCCACAAATCTTGGGCAGTCCGAGGATCCTCGCGCCGGTAGGGCGTGGTTGAAGTCCTCTTCGTGCTACAGGTCAATCCCCGAACCGAGGGATGGCCTGAGCCTCGCCGTTGATCCCTTTTCCGCCGATGCGAGCGTGAACTGCGCGGATGCGCATCACGTCGGGGTCACCAATTGTGGGGGCTAGTTGAGATATATTTACAGCTCGGCTGAAGTGCCCACAATTACTTCCTTGCCGATAGCTGATAGCGAAGGCGGGAATAACTCACTCACGGTATTGGAGATATGAGAACTTTATTTGAGATCTTAGGTACACGGTAAGGTGATCAGTCTTAACCGTGACACAGGCGAGTAACGACTAACTTACTCTGTCCCGCTTGGACAGCGCCACCAACGACCATAGACTGTCGAGGTATAGATGGGCAACTGCAAGTCGCCACACACTCCCCCCCGAGTGCTAACGCTGGAGAGAAGGAAATACAATTTTTGGTATGACACAGGGTGTCTATCACAAATAATTGACGCTGCCAAAAATCACAAAGAATATTGCAGGAACTTATGATACCGCTGCTTAGAACTAGTGTGAGCGCAGGATGTATCACAGAATTATACAAAGGTACTACTACTTAGAACGAAAATGTAGACGCAAGATGTACAATGTAAGATGGATTAAACAATATTAAGGTACCGCTGCTTAGAACAACTATGTAGACGCAGGCTGTACATTGCAAGATCCGAGATAAAATATAATATATATTATACCGCTGCTTAAAGACTAACGCATACGCGGATATATAACTAATTGCACATGGAATAATACAGTATCGCTGCTTAAAGACTAACGCATACGCAGGATGTAGGTATAAACCGAAGCAAATACGCGACCGTGACCAGAATGAAAATTGCACTTAACACTAATGGCAAACGGAACATATGAATTTTTACGCGCAATACATAACCACCTGTACTTTCCCGTGTCGAGATTTTACTAGCGAGGGAATAAACGTACGGTGTTTTTGTCTAGCCTAATTTGTACCTTTTTTTTCGGGCCCGTATACGTTTTCAAGGTACCCGGTTGAACGCTTGACGAAGCAGGAGGCGTGTCTGTAGCGTCGGACGTAGACGGATTGCCAGGGGCTAGAGCGTCGTCCGGTACGAAATGAGCAGGCTTAAGACGTTCGACCGAAACGGCTGTAGGTCTGCCGTTTATCTCGATCGAGTAGACTTTGCCCGACGTCCTTTCAATTACCCTGAAGGGGCCTGAATACGGTCGCTCTAGAGGTTTTTTGACCGCGTCCTTGCGGAGGAAGACGTGCGAACAGACAGACAATTCCTTGAATCGGAAAACGCGCTTTTTATAGTGGTGTGCCACCGGTACTGGCTTCACCTGACGCATGTGCTGTCGAAAGTCATCTATAAAAATTTGGGGATCCGGTGTAAAATCCTCCTGGAGGAAAAATTCTCCCGGGATCCGTAGAACCGTGCCGTAAAGGAATTCGGCCGGGGAGGCTTTAGTGTCCATACGCACATGGGTGCGCAACCCGAGCAAAACTGTCGGGAGGACCTCCACCCAATTCGGCGTATTATGGCACATGATCGCTGCCTTAAAGGTGCGGTGCCAACGCTCGATCATGCCGTTAGCGGCGGGGTGGTAAGCTGTCGTACGAATGCGTCTGCATCCGATAAGTTTGAGAAGAGCTGCAAAGAGCCTCGAATTGTTGACCTTGATCGGTCGTTAAAATACTAGGTGCACCGAAACGAGCGACCCAATTATCAAAGAAGGCTCTGGCTATTGTCCTGGCCGTAATATCTATTAATGGAATCGCTTCTGGCCAGCGGGAAAACCTATCTATAATTGTAAGGCAATAAGTAAAGCCATTACTGGGCTGCAAGGGACCAACTATGTCCATGTGGACGTGGTCGAAACGCCCGTCAGGAGCCGCAAACTGTGCAGGCTCGAGTTTAACGTGGCGCGAGGTTTTGCACTGCTGGCAGTCAGTGCAGTTACCCGCCCAAGTCGCGACATCGCGATGTAGGTTCGGCCAGATATACCGCTGTCGGATGACGCGGTCCGTTACTTTAGCGTTCGGGTGCGCGGGGTTATGAAACAAGTCGAAAACCTGTCTTCTAAGAGATGCTGGAATGTAGGGCCTGATTGATTCCCCTGACAATTCGCAGTATAGCTCTGAGTTGGAAGAACCCCAAATGAACTTTTTTAATTTAAGCGAGGACGAGCTTGAGACTAACAAATGCTTTAATTCTTCATCCTCTTTTTGCCTAGCGGCGAGGTCTACTAATTCAAATTCGATCGGGAGGCGAAGAGCCTCGACACGAGATAAATTGTCAGCCACCACGTTCTCGGAACCTGCGAGATATTCAAACGCGGTGGTGAACTGCGCTATGTACGAGAGCTGACGTAGTTGCCTAGGAGAGGCTTTATCCGACCGTTGCTGAAAAGCGTAAACCAAAGGTTTATGGTCCGTCATGACCTTAAAGTTACGACCTTCGAGGAAATGTCTAAAAAACTTTATTGATTCATAAATCGCGGTCAATTCGCGGTCGTACGCGCTATAGTTCCTCTGCGCTGGAGTAAACTTTCTAGAGGAAAAAGCTAATGGTCTCCAACCGTCAGAGGTATACTGCTCAAGGGCCCCACCCATGGAAAAATCCGACACGACACGAGTGTCGGCCGAATTGGACGGGTGTGCTAATAACGCGGCATTAGCAAGGTCGGCTTTGGCCTTGTCAAACGCGGTTTCGGCCTCGAGAGTCCAGTTTATTTCGCGTTTATCATTTTTACGCGAGTCGGTTAAATATGTGTGTAGGGGGGCTTGTACGCGAGCGGCGTGTCGAAGGCTGCGCCTATAAAAATTTAACGCGCCCAAAAAACGACGTAGTTCCGCTACGGTCTTTGGCTTCGGGAGATCCCGTATGGCAGCCACTTTTTCCGGGGAGGGTTTCAGACCGAATTTATTTACGCGATGCCCGAGGAAGGTTAATTCTTCTACCCCGAAGACACATTTGGAAGGGTTGATAACTAACCCGTATTCCTTGAGTTTTTGAAACACCATGCTTAGATGCTTCCTATGCTCCTCCATCGAAGAGGACGCTATAAGAATATCATCTATATAAGCGAATGCGAAATCGAGATCCCGTAGGACATGATGGATGTACCGCTGAAAAGTCTGAGCGGCATTCTGCAGACCGAATGTCATGGAGACGAACTCGAAAAGACCGAACGGCGTTATAACAGCCGTCTTCGGTATATCGGCCTTTGCCATTTGAATCTGGTGGTACGCCTTGAAAAGATCAAGGGAAGAGAAAATCGATTTACCCAGTAGATTAGAGGTAAAATCGTGAAGGTACGGTATCGGATACTTATCCGGAATCGTGACGGCATTCAAACGACGATAGTCGCCGCAAAGCCGCCAGTCACCGTTACCCTTGCGGACGAGGTGGATTGGACTAGCCCAAGGACTGCTGGACGGCCTACAAATGCCTAACTCAGTCAGCCTTTTAATTTCGGCTTTCGCTGCCTTTAACTTATCGGGGGGTAACCGGCGTGGTCGTTCCGCGACGGGAGAACCGCTAGTCGCGATATGGTGTTCGACAGCACATGCGGCAGGCGAAAGCGCCTGACCGCTCCCGGAAACCTCAGGGAAAGTATGTCCGCAAATTTATTATCGTGACTGACCAATGATATTTTAGTTTCTGGTACAGCCAGTAACTGTCCGGCCGACGACAACGAGGTAACGCTGTCGACCAGACGACGCTTGTGCAGGTTGACAATTAGCTTATAGTGCGTCAACACGTCTGCACCGAGGATCGCAAAGGGCACGTTCGCTACGCGAAAATTCCACACGATAGGACGCCGCAAGCCTAGATCTAGAGTAAGAAGACGCTCGCCGAACGTATCAATTACAGTGTTATTTGCTGCGAAGAGTTTCAGTTCAGAAGGCGTATTTTTATCGCGCAAGGACGCTGGGAGTATTGATATCTCCGCGCCCGTATCAACCAAAAACCGTTGATCGGTAGTCCGATCGAAAACGTGAAGACGGTTTTGTTTGTGCCCGGAATTCCCGACCGTCTCTTCGCGGGGAGAGCGGTTTAGTTTTCCGCCGCGTCATCTTTCCACGAGCAAGGCTTGCGGCAGGACGTGGCTTTCTTCCCGTATTTACGGTGAATGTAGCAGTAGCCTGTCTTATCATCAGACTTATCTGCTTCATCACCACGCTTAGTCTTATTACGCGTACGGGATGTGGATCGTTCGCGTCGCATTTTTGCGAACGCGGTGCTCAAAGACTGGATCTGCTTAGTGAGCCTACTGATCCGCTCGTCAGTGCTCAAAGGGGCTCTAGGACGAGCACCCTTGGATTCTTTATTTGGTGCGATAACGGCGACTGCGGAACTAGGACTACTAATGTCCGCAAGTTTATCCGCGGTTTCTGCTAATTTCTGGGGGTCAGACTCGTTCATTGCGACCAAAATGGTCTTATGCGCGTCGGGTAACAACTCAAGGAAGAGAGATCTTATTACGGCAGGGCTGCATTGCCCGCCGTTGAGCTGATTCATCTGACTCAATAAGTGTGAGGGCTTCCGGTCCCCCAGTACCTGACCCTTTAACAATTGCCGTAAGCGGGCCTCCGGTGAGACCGCAAACGTCGCGAGAATCCGGTCTTTGAGCTGCTTATACAGGTTATCCGGCGGTAGGTCCGCCGTTACTAAGTCTAGGACATGCGTGATCGTCTCAGCGTCGATTCCGGTAAGCAGGCAATCGGCCTTAGTACGATCTACAGTGATACCCGCGGATCGAAAGGATGCTTCGATTTGAACGAACCATGCCTCCGGGGCCTGCCGCCAGAAGGGCGGAATCTTTGGCACCCGGTACGCTTCTACGCGCGCGTCTTCGTCTGGCATAATTAAACCACGCGACGCGTATCGCGAACCGAGACAAAATGAGAGGAAAGAAAAGAAACCGAGGAGAAATACCAGGACGAGGCAAAGCATGTGCCTCACGCACTCGAAGTACCGGAAGCGGCGTAGTCCCTTGAAGGAGGTAGGGCCTGGACTCGAGGCGTAGGCGAGAGGAGGGTAGACGCGCTGTCCTGCGTCCCGCCGGACGGCGGTGCCTGCTGGATGCGCTGCCAGGGGCGTCCCTCACTGCCGATGTTGCGTGCGCGCGCCGGGGGCTGAATGCGCAACGCGTCCTGTCGATTTCGTCCTCCGCGCAACGGTATGGTCCCGTGCGCTACACAGTGTGCTGGGTGCGCCCTTAACCGGGCTCGGCCGCGACGTCGGAGATGCCTCAGAACGGGATCCCGCCGATTTGAGTCCGTACATGGAGAACGGCCGATCTTGCGTCACCCAAAGATGGCCTCCCTCGGGCGGTAGTAGACTCGCCCGAAGTTTCGGGAAGGCCCGATAATGGACTCGCCCAGGCGTCGGTGATGCCAAAAATTTTGGGCAGTCCAAGGATCCTCGAAGCCGGTAGGGCGTGGTTGAGGACCTCTTAGTGCTACAGGTGGCCTGAGCCTCGCCGTTGATCCCTATTCCGCCGATGCGAGCGTGAAATGCGCGGATGCGCGATCACGTCGGGGTCACCAATTATGGGGGCTAGTTGAGATATATTTACAGCCCGGCTGAAGTGCCCACAATTACTTCCTTGCCGATAGCTGATAGCGAAGGCGGGAATAACTCACTCACGGTATTGGAGATATGAGAACTTTATTTGAGATCTTAGGTACACGGTAAGGTGATCAGTCTTAACCGTGACACAGGCGAGTAACGACTAACTTACTCTGTCCCGCTTGGACAGCGCCACCAACGACCATAGACTGTGTCGTGGTATAGTTAGGCAACTGCAAGTCGCCACACGTGGACGACACCTTCGTCATCTGGAACCACGGAAGGGAAACTCTACCTCAATTCCTCACTTTCATCAACTCCCAACATCCCAACATCCAATTCACAATGGAGACCGAACAGAATTCCCAAATTCCCTTCCTGGATGTCCTGGTCCGAAGGAACGAAGACGGCACCCTAAGCCACAACGTCTACCGCAAACCAACACACACGGACCGATACCTCCACGCAAACTCCCAACATCACCCCGCCCAAAAGAATTCGGTAATCAGCTCTCTAGTCCACAGAGCACTCTCCATCTCGGAACCAGCCGCCCTGAACGGAGAGCTAAACCACCTTCACCGAACCCTGACCAGGAACGGATACAGCAGCAGAAACATCAACCGTACAATCAAGAAGCTGACCAACAAGGAACCCGGCCAGAACAACACCACGACACCAGAGACAGAGATAGAGAAGATTAAGGCAGTAGTACTCCCATACGTCAGAGGGACCACGGACCGCATC